GGTCCGAAATGGGATATGAACCCACAACCAATGGTTGAGGCAGTAAATGGCTTGTACAAAGTTATTTTGGGTTAGAATATGTTATAATAAAATGAATTTGATTGATTACAAGTTCTAGAGAAGGAAGAAGATTGTTTAGAAGTGTGAAGAAAGACTAGTTGAAATCTGGTCCCAAATGGGATAAGAACACATAACCAATGGTTTAACGCAGTAAATGGCTTGTATAAAGTTATTTTCGGTTATAATATGTTAAAATATAATGAATTTGATTGATTACAAGTGCGAGAGATAGATGAAGAATGTTTAGAACTGTGAAGAAAGACTTGTTGAAATCTGGTCCCAAATGAGATATGAGCCCACAACCAATGGTTTGAGGCAGTAAATGGCTTGTATAAAGTTACATTAAGTTAGAATATGTTATAATACAATGATTTTAATTGATTACAAGTGCTAGAAATGGATGAAGAATGTTTAGAAGTTTGAAGAAAGACTTGTTGATATTTGGTCCCAAATGGGATATGAACCCACAACCAATGGTTTGAGGCAGTAAATGGCTTGTATAAAGTTATTTTGGGTTAGAATATGTTATAGTACAATGAATTTGATTGATTAGAAGTGCTAGAGATGGATGAAGAATGTTTCAAAGTGTGTAGAAAGACTTGCTGAAATCTGGTCCCAAATGGGATAAGAACCCACAACCAATGGTTTGAGGCAGTAAACGGCTTGTATAAAGTTATTTTTGGTTAGAATATGTTATAATACAATCGATTTTATTGATTACAAGTGCTAGAGATGGATGAAGAATGTTTAGTAGTGTGAAGAAAGACTTGTTGAAATTTCGTCCCAAATGGGATATGAACCCACAACCAATGGTTTGAGGCAGTAAATGGCTTGTACAAAGTTATTTTGGGTTAGAATATGTTATAATAAAATGAATTTGATTGATTACAAGTGCTAGAGAAGGATGAAGATTGTTTAGAAGTGTGAAGAAAGACTAGTTGAAATCTGGTCCCAAATGGGATAAGAACACACAACCAATGGATTGAGGCAGTAAATGGCTTGTATAAAGTTATTTTGGGTTAGAATATGTTAAAATATAATGAATTTGATTGATTACAAGTGGTAGAGATAGATGAAGAATGTTTAGAACTGTGAAGAAAGACTTGTTGAAATCTTGTCCCAAATGTGATATGAACCCACAACCAATGCTTTGAGGCAGTATATGGCTTGTATAAAGTTATTTTGGGTTAGAATATGTTAAAATACAATGAATTTGATTGATTACAAGTGCTAGAGATGGATGATGAATGTTTAAAAGTGTGAAGAAAGACTTGTTGAAATTTGGTCCCAAATGGGATATGAACCAACAACCAATGGTTTGAGGCAGTAAATGGCTTGTATAAAGTTATTTTGGGCTAGAATATGTTATAGTAGAATGAATTTGATTGATTACAAGTTCTACAAATGGATGAAGAATGTTTCAAAGTGTGAAGAAAGATTTGTTGAAATCTGATCACAAATGGGATAAGAACCCACAACCAATGCTTTGACCCAGAAAATGGCTTGTATAAAGTTATTTTGGGTTAGAATATGTTATAATACAATGACTTTGATTGATTACAAGTGCCAGAGATGGATGAAGAATGTTTAGAAGTGTGAAGAAAGACTTGTTGAAATCTAGTCCCACATGGGATAAAAACACACAACCAAAGGTTTGAGGTAGTAAATAGCTTTTATAAAGTTATTTTTGGTTAGAATATGTTATAATACAATGAATTTGATTGATTACAAGTGCTAGAGATGGATGAAGAATGTTTAGTAGTGTGAAGAAAGATTTGTTGAAATTTGGTCCCAAATGGGATATGAACCCACAACCAATGCTTTGAGGCAGTATGTGGCTTGTATAAAGTTATTTTCGGTTAGAAAATGTTAAAATACAATGAATTTGATTGATTACAAATGATAGAGATGGATGAAGAATGTTTAAAAGTGTGAAAAAAGACTTGTTGAAATTTGATCCCAAATGCAATATACTAGTAAAAAAAAGCCCAATAACCACTTAACTTTTCGTCGCTGAGCCTAAATATTCGTGGCTATAAGTTGATATATCCACGAAAGGTCACAAAAATAAATCGTGGCTATAGCGTCGTACCTTATTTTATTCGTGGCTTTTCCTGGCTAGATAGACACGAATTAGTCTTGCGTGATACGTGGCATTATATTAGTCACGAAATGATCACGTATATAATGTGGCTTTTATTGCCACGATTTGCCACATCTCTTTTCGTCGCAAGTTTATATAGCTACGTCTATATATTCGTGGCTAGTCATGTAATTAGAAGAAAAAAAAATTGAAATAGCAAATTGCATGAAATCGTGATTAATAACATTAATTAAACCTGAATAATTAATATAAAATCCTAATAAGAAGATTACATTTGCTAATTAGTCTTGTAGCTTACCAAAAGGCTAAATGAATGCACATTCACACAAAATAACATAATTACTACATTATATTTCTTCTGATGCACCTCAACCATCTACTTTGCTTTGTTGTGTTCTTGTTGGAGGGGCTGTCGGGTTAACAGCAGGACGAGCTTGAACCGGATAACCGTGACGAGGAGCAGTGCCGTAGAAATGCTTAGTTTCTCTTAACAGATTGATATCCTTGTGTTGAACACTGCCTAGTCCATAGATATACCCGTTTTAAGACTTACCACACAGTGAAAGAAACAAAAGAAATAAGAGTCAAGCAACGTTCATAATCAAACACAATATCAGATGAATATAGCAAACTGAACTCACCAAAACATATGAGAATTAATTCAAAATCAAAAAAACTTATAAAACATACTGCACCAATTCAAAATCAAACAAATTATAAACTAAACTGCACCAATTCAAATGAAACAAAGTATAAACAAAAACTGCACCAATTCAAAATGAAACAAACGATTAACCAAACTGCAGTAATTGAAAATCAAACAAATGAGTACCTTGAGATATTCTTTGTTCAGCACAACTCGAGAGAGTATAACACCAGATGAGGCAGTTTGGCTGAGACCATTGAAATAATCATCTTCTTCCATAATCTTGCTCGAGGAGGAAGCCTTCTATGCTGCACTGTGTTTTAAATGGCGCGAGGCGACGTAAGGCGATGAAGGGCTGGTTTGAGCCCTGAGCCTAGGCGCACTTCACTCCGAGCCTTTGGTATCTGAGGCGCAACTACACAAGAAAACATAAAGTTAGTTATATTCATTGATCTCTAAACCATGTTAGCACCATGTGTGAGTTTAAAACCATGTAAGAACCAATAAAAATGTGCATCATCGTTTAAAGAACAGAGAAAGAGCAATAGTTGAAGCCATAAGTCTGAAACAGAGAATAAAAGAAAAACAAAGAGGTTGTTAAAAAGATTAACGTGAAAAGGTTTATCCAAATTGCCAAGACTCTTTAGGTTTTTTAGGAATAGCTGTAGCAGCAATAATGTAATAATGTTCACAGGAAATTAATTTTTGGAAACATAAAAAGCAAGTAAATATTATGTTTAACAATAATTACCTTTTATTTTCATAGGCGCAAAGCGACGAGAGGTGCGTTTGATACCACGGCGTCACGGAGCGACAGCCTTTGGGCCAGAGCCTAGCCTCATCTATTAGAGGAGATGAACCTTTAACCTTACCTCGCCTCGAGCCTAGGCGTCGCCTTTTTAAACACAACTTGCACCTTTTGTAATAGAACTTGAAAAACAAGAGAAAGAAAGAATCAGTTTAAATCATCATCTCAAACACAAGTTAAAATCAAAGCTTGAAATCCTAACACTTAATTAGTTTAAAACTTTTATTAGAACACAACAGAGACTTTAAACAAATGAAGTAAAGACACAAGAAAATAGACTGAACAGATCCTAGTTGTCATACGAGATCCGGCTTATGAACTATATCCAATCGATTTATTAGAACACACATAGACAAAGAACACATGAAGTGAAGACACGAGAGTTAAGCAACTAACCAGATACAGCTTAGCAACTAAAATGAAGACACAAGAGTTAGGAAACTAACCATATCTACTAGAATCATGTGTGCAACACCAAACCAAACATGCATGTGAAGAGACACGAATCTCCAGAAATTAATAACAAATGAAGAACACAGAGCAAACACTAGAGCAAACACATAAAACATCGTCTCAAACTAAACTTAAACAAAGCTTGAAATCTCTTTGAAAGAGAAAAATCAAATTGTGCTTACATCAAACACATCTGAAGTTTATAATTCGGACATATCAAATAAAAAACATTATCTGAAAGACTGAAACTAAGAACCAATCAAAGCTTAACCTAGAAAAATGAGAGAAATCAAGATTAAAAATCATCTGAAGTTTAGGGTTTCTAATCCCAGACAACTAACAGCAAAGAATCAAATTCTATAACCCTAAACAAAGAAATCGAGCTAACAGAGTATCAGGTTAAAAAGTAACCAAATCCTTGACAACCAAGAAGAAAGAGTGAAAGATCTATAACCATAGACAAAGAAATCGAGAAAACCAAAACAAAATCAACCAAACACAGAGATTTATCGCTAGAAGGAGAAGAAGAGATGAAGTAGTACCTGGTACTTGTTGTCGTTCACGACGGCGATCTTGTTGTCGGCCGTAGAAATACATCGAATCTAGCACCGTTGGAAGAGACAGAACGAAGGTGAGATGAAGAGATGAGAGAGAAATCGAGCAAACGCAGAGATATTATCGCTAGAAGGAGAATAAGAGATGACGTTGTACCTGCTAGACCAGAGCCGGAGGTGAAGAGATGCGAGAGACGAGAGTGAGTGCTTAGACTTTAGGGATTCTGTGTTTTCTGATTTTTTTTTCTAAGTATGGAGAGTGAGTGTCGAGAGAGTGTCAAAAATTAAAGGGTCTGGGTCTTAAGTGGGCCAAAATCTAAGAATTGGGAGATGAAATTTTTGTTGGTTTTTTGGTGGAAAAAATGAAATTTCCCCAAAAATGTTTTGGATTTTGGGTTAGAAATCAAATATTCCCCAAATTATTAAATTTTTGCAGATAGGAAATTGTTAATTAAAATCTAAATGGTTTAGTTCAATTCTAAATAGTTTAGGTCAATTCTAAATGGTTTAAGTCAAATCTAAATGGTTTATATTATATATTTTAAATACATTTTTTTCTTTTAAAAGATACTATCATTTTCTTTTTTAAAGATAACACATGTTTTTATTAAAGATTTTTTCTAACTCATATTAAAGATTTTTTATCTATTTAAAGATAGTATCATTTTATTTATTTAATATATTTACTTTAGAAAAAATGTTATTGTCAGTAATAATATAGATAATTTATTTTTATAACATATATTGTACCAGATAAATAGATGCATATTTAATGTGTTTTAAAAAAATAGATGCATATTTATTCAATATATATAGCCACAAATTAACCACGTTATCTTCCGTGGCTAACCTTCTAACCACGAATAAACTACACTAAACAATTTGTCGCTAATTTAGCCACAAATTAACCACGTTATCTTTCGTGGCTAACCTTTTAACCACGAATAAACCACACTAAACAATTCGTCGTTAATTTAGCCACAAAAAAGCCGCGTTTTATGGTCGTCGCTAAATTTTAGCCACGATCGAACCATGTTTTCTGTTCGTTGCTTATTTTGTGGCTGATTATATTTTAGCCACGCACCGTCGTGACAAAAACGAAGCTATACGATTTTTTTTACTAGTGATGAACCCACAACCAATGGTTTGAGGCAGTAAATGGCTTGTATAAAGTTATTTTGGGCTAGAATATGTTATAGTAGAATGAATTTGATTGATTACAAGTTCTAAAGATGGATGAAGAGTGTTTCAAAGTGTGAAGAAAGATTTGTTGAAATCTGGTCCCAAATGGGATAAGAACACACAATCAATGGTTTGAGGCAGTAAATGGCTTGTATAAAATTATTTTGGGTTAGACTATGTTAAAATACAATGAATTTGATTGATTACAATTGCTAGAGATGGATGAAGAATGTTTAGAAGTGTGAAGAAAGACTTGTTGAAATTTGGTCCCAAATGGGATATGAACCCACAACCAATGGTTTGACGCAGTAAATGGCTTGTATAAAGTTATTTTGGGTTAGAATGTGTTATAATACAATGAATTTCATTGATTACAAGTGTTAGAGATAGATGAAGAATGTTTCAAAGTGTGAAGAAAGATTTGTTGAAATCTGATCCCAAATGGGATAAGAACCCACAACCAATGCTTTGAGCCAGAAAATGGCTTGTATAAAGTTATTTTGGGTTAGAATATGTTATAATACAATGACTTTGATTGATTACGAGTGCTAGAGATGGATGAAAAATGTTTAGTAGTGTGAAGAAAGACTTGTTGAAATTTGGTCCCAAATGGGATATGAACCCACAACCAATGCTTTGAGGCAGTATATGGCTTGTATAAAGTTATTTTCGGTTAGAAAATGTTAAAATACAATGAATTTGATTGATTACAAGTGCTAGAGATGGATGAAGAATGTTTAGAAGTGTGAAGAAAGACTTGTTAAAATTTGGTCTCAAATGGGATATGAACCCACAACCAATGGTTTGAGACAGTAAATGGCTTGTATAAAGTTATTTTGGGTTAGAATATGTTATAATACAATGACTTTGATAAATTACAAGTGCCAGAGATGGATGAAGAATGTTTAGTAGTGTGAAGAAAGACTTGTTGAAATTTGGTCCCAAATGGGATATGAACCCACAACCAATGATTTGATGCAGTAAATGGCTTGTATAAAGTTATTTTGGGTTAGAATATGTTATAATACAATGACTTTGATTGATTACAAGTGCCAAAGATGGATGAAGAATGTTTAGAAGTGTGAAGAAAGACTTGTTGAAATCTGGTCCCAAATGGGATAAGAACCCACAACCAATGCTTTGAGGCAGTAAATAGCTTTTATTAAGTTATTTTTGGTAAGTATATGTTATAATACAATGAATTTGATTGATTACAAGTGCTAGAGATGGATGAAGAATGTTTAGAAGTGTGAAGAAAGACTTGTTGAAATCTCGTCCCAAATGGGATATGAACCCACAACCAATGGTTTGAGGTAGTAAATGGCTTGTATAAAGTTATTTTGGGTTAGAATATGTTATAATACAATGAATTTCATTGATTACAAGTGCTAGAGATGTATGAAGAATGTTTCAAAGTGTGAAGAAAGACTTGTTGAAATCTAGTCCCAAATAGGATAAGAACCCACAACCAATGCTTTGAGGCAGAAAATGGCTTGTATAAAGCTATTTTGGGTTAGAATATGTTATAATACAATGACTTTGATTGATTACAAGTACTAGAGATGGATGAAGAATGTTTAGAACTGTGAAGAAAGACTTGTTGAAATCTGGTCCCAAATGGGGTAAGAACACACAACCAATGGTTTGAGGCAGTAAATGGCTTGTATAAAGTTATTTTTGGTTAGAATATGTTATAATACAATCGATTTTATTGATTACAAGTGCTAGAGATGGATGAAGAATGTTTAGTAGTGTGAAGAAAGACTTGTTGAAATTTCGTCCCAAATGGGATATGAACCCACAACCAATGGTTTGAGGCAGTAAATGGCTTGTACAAAGTTATTTTGGGTTAGAATATGTTATAATAAAATGAATTTGATTGATTACAAGTGCTAGAGAAGGATGAAGATTGTTTAGAAGTGTGAAGAAAGACTAGTTGAAATATGGTCCCAAATGGGATAAGAACACACAACCAATGGTTTGACGCAGTAAATGGCTTGTATAAAGTTATTTTGGGTTAGAATATGTTAAAATATAATGAATTTGATTGATTACAAGTGCTAGAGATAGATGAAGAATGTTTAGAAGTGTGAAGAAAGACTAGTTAAAATCTGGTCCCAAATGGGATAAGAACACACAACCAAGGGTTTGAGGCAGTAAATGGCTTGTATAAAGTTATTTAGGGTTAGAATATGTTATAATACAATGAATTTGATTGATTACAAGTGCTAGAGATAGATGAAGAATGTTTAGAACTGTGAAGAAACACTTGTTGAAATCTGGTCCCAAATGGGATATGAACCCACAACCAATGGTTTAAGGCAGTAAATGGCTTGTATATAGTTATATTGGGTTAGAATATGTTATAATACAATGAATTTGATTGATTAAAAGTGCTACAGATGGATGAAGAATGTTTAGAAGTGTGAAGAAAGACTTGTTGAAATCTGGTCCCAAATGGGATGAGAACACACAACCAATGCTTTGAGGCAGTAAATGGCTTGTATAAAGTTATTTTGGGTTAGAATATGTTATAATACAATGAATTTGATTGATTACAAGTGCTAGAGATGGATGAAGAATGTTTAGAAGTGTGAAGAAAGACTTGTTGAAATCTGATCCCAAATGGGGTAAGAACACACAACCAATGGTTTGAGGCAGTAAATAGCTTGTATAAAGTTATTTTTGGTTAGAATATGTTATAATACAATCAATTTGATTGATTACAAGTGCTGGAGATGGATGAAGAATGTTTAGTAGTGTGAAGAAAGACTGGTTGAAATCTGGTCCCAAATGGGATATGAACCCACAACAAATGGTTTGAGGCAGTAAATGGCTTGTACAAAGTTATTTTGGGTTAGAATATGTTATAATAAAATGAATTTGATTGATTACAAGTGCTAGAGAAGGATGAAGATTGTTTAGAAGTGTGAAGAAAGACTTGTTGAAATTTGATCCCAAATGGGATATGAACCCACAACAAATGGTTTGAGGCAGTAAATGGCTTGTATAAAGATATTTTGGGTTAGAATATGTTATAGTACTATGAATTTCATTGATTACAAGTGCTAGAGATGGATGAAGAATGTTTCAAAGTGTGAAGAAAGACTTGTTGAAATCTGGTCCCAAATGGGATAAGAACACACAACCAAAGGTTTGAGGCAGTAACTGGCTTGTATAAAGTTATTTTGGGTTAGAATATGTTAAAATACAATGAATTTGATTGATTACAAGTGCTAGAGATAGATGAAGAATGTTTAGAACTGTGAAGAAAGACTTGTTGAAATCTGGTCCCAAATGGGATATGAACCCACAACCAATGGTTTGAGGCAGTAAATGGCTTGTATAAAGTTATATTGGGTTAGAATATGTTATAATACAATGAATTTGATTGATTACAAGTGCTAGAGATGGATGAAGAATGT